GCCACGCTGCCCTCGAAGAAATCCTCTTTTAAATTGATGCGAGAGTGGCGCGCGGCACTGTATCATCTACGAAACACCCGATTCGACGGCATTTACTTAGCGATTGCCACCATCCAGTGCGATTCGAAGTACATGGGAGGCCAGTCTCGTGGGAAACCCTGTACCGACAGTCAATAGGTAAAAGGAAGGCTCATAAATTTATAACCTTTCATAATTTAGTGTGCGGACTCCTGTGTGGGGGGGGGGTAGCGTCGCACGTGGCGTTGGCGTTAGTCCAGAGGATAGTGCCGCGATGAACATTGGTATGATAGCGACCTTCGAGAGCCAAAAGGAAGGGATAGAGTAAGAACAAAAACCTACCGTACACCTCCCACATCGGTGTTTTCACCCGCTGTTGCCAGAGGGTAAGACAAAAACACCCGGCCAAACCAACGCGATCTATTACATGAATTTATAGCCGAACAGGAACTCCCAACACACGACAACCACCAAACGACGATGCCACCTCAAGACAACAGACCTTCGGCAAGAGCGAATCCGAACCGCACCTACTCCAGCTGTAAGCAGCGTACCATACGGCCACACAAAAGTTCATCGGCTAGACTACTAACTACTACGACGACAACGCCTACTAGTTCGCGGCGGTACGACCACCAACAGATTCTCCCCGAAATATCTATGCTGCGGTTGGAGTTGTATTGCGCAGACCGCCGGGGTTCGTCTCGCCGAAAACTTAAAAAAAAGAAAGAAAGATGGTCGGTTTCAAACTCTTCCGCCACCCTTGCCTATCCCTACCTGTCGCTGCTCCTCGCCCGCTTCGCCCGCTTGGAAGAAGGGCTGCGGCTCTTGCTCCTTTTAGACGAAAACACGTGGGGCCGGAGATGCCGTTATAACGCATGCGGTAGTTCAGCAAAAAAAAAACTACCAAGTAGTACACAGCCGCGGAGCGCTTTTCTTGCAAAAGCCTTTTTTTTTTCTTTCCATCACCTCGCCTACGTGACGCAGCATGACCACAACTTTTGGACATGACCCGTCACCGAGTACCTAAGGAACCACCAGGACCCCTAGAGAACTACCGGGAAAAAAAACAGTGCAAACTTATCAAGAAACCCACAAGAACACACCTGCTCCGCCTACGGTCTTTCCTCTTGCCGTCGCCGCCGCCGCTGCTATCCTTGTCGCCTCTGCTGCTGCCGTCCCTTGCCCTGTCTTTATCTCCGCTACGGTCGGCCCTGCCGCTACCGCCGTCCTTGTCTGCCGCCGAGTCCCGAACGCTGGTGCTCTTTCTGTCGAGCCTGTCGGGTCTACCCCGCGAGCTGTTGCGCGTAGTACCGCAGTAGGGTTTTCCCAAGATTTTCAAAGGCATGGCGCGTGAAAGCAGCCGAGAGGATCGGGCGGTGACGCGTGTCATGGTGAGAGAAAGGGGGGGGGGGGGGGGGGTGTACTCATAGTCGTGCATGCCGTAGTCGTTTGACCATTGACCTCGCATCCCTACAAAGCCGGGACGGAGCACGCCGGGTTCTCACCGGACCAGGCTCTCACATCACCAAGCGCGAAGCGCCGTGAGGTATTTGGCGAGTCGCATGAAGGGTGAGCTGCATCCTGCTAAGGGTGTTCGGCATCTTGTGCTTACTATCCTTGCGTACGGATGACAGCTACGTATGACTTAATTTATTTTCTGGTGCTTTCACTTCCATAGACAGTTGTAAGCACTGTGTAACTGCCTCGAGGGTGCTTGACCATTTTAACACAACGTGGTGCGATCATCCCCCGTTGCGCGGAGTGAGGTTTCTCCACCCCGCACAACATGATCTACTCGACCACCATTATGGTTACCGCCAAAAAAAAAAACGAGGTAAAAAAAAAAAAACGGTAACCTGGTTGCCGAGTTCACGAAGCGAATTGGCTTGTTTTACGACGTCGTTGCCAAGCGACGAAAACCCAATCCCGATGGCAAACACCGAGTGGGGGGCTTGTTTTACAACGTCGTTGCCAAGCGACGAAAACCCAAACCCCGATGGCAAACACCGGGGGGGGCGGCTTGTTTTACAACGTCGTTGCCAAGCGACGAAAACCCAACCCCGATGGCAAACACCGGGGGGGGACAAGGGGGAGTCAAAACCATCCCGCCGGCAAGTTCGACGATAACGCCAAGCAACACCGAAAACCAACCAATACTTGAAGGCAATAACGGCAAAACACCGCCGCCACCTCCGACACACCCGTGCCGGCCCCGACAACTCTCTCGCTCTCCACCTGCCTTTGGCGAGGCCCAGACTTTCACTTAACAACACCGCCAGCGACAACCCCGGCCCCCAAACGCCTCCGCTGTACCGCCCATACTCTCGGGAGAAACGCCGGCATGTCACGCTCTAAAATAGGCAATTTTCGTGGGGGTCTTTGGCAAAGATCGTACGACGGTGTGTTGTACACGGCGTTGTCGATACTGATACGTGCAATTATTAACATTTTCGGGCGTGGGGGGGGGGGGGGGGGCGAACTGTCTGTCGGCTGCGTCGAAACATGGTGCCCGTACCACGGGGTCCTTCCAAACGTAAAACCCCCAAAGACCCACGGCGGAACCAACCAACCAACCCCACCACCACGCGCAGCAAGCCAAGCACTGCCGCACCTCGACCGCTCCCTGTCGCGACCTCTTCCTCGGTCCTTGTCCCTGCCCCCCCTGTCCAAGGAAGAAGTGGTCGACGGGGAGGCCGAGTGAGGTCGTTTGCCGGAAGAGTGCGCCTCCGACTCCTTGCCGACCGAACTCCGACGCTCCCTGCATATATCATCATTTAAGGTTTGTGATATTCCCGGAAGTGGACGCATGTGTAACCCAGCCAAAGGAGGTTATGTATGTATTTTATTGTATTGTAGTAGAGGGAGGCACGTTCGTAAGCCGAAACCAAACCAGGCTAATAAGTTGTTTGATTTTGGCTTCAAATAGTGCACACGGGGCGAAACAACAACAAAGCTGACCATCGACGCAAAAATAACCATGTTCTTTCGCCGGACCCCCCCGAAAGGGGGCCAACCTCTTGCTGGCTAGCTTGGGTGCCGTTGCGTATTTCGTATTTCCAGGATTGTGCCAGGGGTCACAAACAAGAGAATAAAAAAAAAAACGGCGATCCGCTCTCAGTCTAGCCATGCAGCAGTCTAGACATGTCCACCGTCAGACAACCGACGAAAACGGGGCTGGTGGGCAAATTAGATACGCCTCCATAGAAGGGATGCATGGGGGGAACAAACGAACAAACGGGATGGAATACGAACTCGTGCTCTACCTCCTCGACGGCGCAACTCTCACGCTGTTTGGTTCTTCCCATCAACAGCAACCACCACCACTATTACGACAACAGCGCCGCCGCCGCGGCTAGGCCGGAGGAGAACACGCGCAGCACACAAAAACACACCACATCTATTCAAAGAGGACCATGTACGGGTACAGGGTGGGAGAAGAGGCATTCCAGGTATCGGCGCCTGCCCGCAACGTCCTGAGGCGTTGAGCGTTTCACCACGAACCGATACGTTCGCGCTCAAAGACAGACGCGTTCAAGATAAACACCTCCCCATCACAAGACAGACGACACACCTCTCATCACACCACAAAACCAAAACATCACGAACGACTGCGGCCAGCATGGGTCAGCAGCAACTACCAAAGAGCGAAACAAAAAAAAAGGGAGACCCGCTCACCGTGTGCTGCCGCTGTCCCTGCCACCGCCGCTGCTGCTGCTAATCGCTTCTCTCCCCTTTCCGCCCGACTCGCGTCCGTTGCTGCTGCTACCGCCGCCGCCGCCGCCGCTGTCTCTGGGTTTGCTTCGCTCCCGCGACTTGCTGTCCCTCCTGTCCCTGCTATCACCTCCGCTTCTGCTGCTGCTGCTGCTGGAGCCACTGCGAATGCGCGGCGGGGCGGCGGCGGGGGGGTGTACTCATAGTCGTGCATGCCGTAGTCGTTAGACCATTGACCTTGGGGGGAGTATCATAGCCATGCATGCAAAGGTCTTCCAAGATCACCCATAGGGTCGGAACATGAACAGAGCGCGTTCCGTTCTCGCCGCCACCTGATACCCGGCGAGTTGCATCAACCTCGGGCTCGATGCGACGGAGCCCTGGGGGGGGGGGGGTAGTGTACTCTTGCGTTTCGCATGCCTTAGCGGTTAGACCATTGACCACGCGTCCTCGAGAGGACGGAGCATTATTTCCACAGGACCGATCACCCATGCCAAATCGTTCCTTCCTACTTTGCCAACGGTCGCTCAAAAATATTTCCCAAGCCTATCTATCATATCGATATCACTTTCCTGCCTTTTCAACCCAATTCCAATGTCCCAGTACAGCTACCATCTTCTCCTGGCTATTCCATGCCTCAAACATCTCCCTGCATTCGTCAAGGTGAAAAGGGAGGAGCACCGGCACAAAAATCTCACCGCTTCAGGGTTGCCTTGTTCTTCTCCCAAGTGTCCATCATCTCTGCCCGCTTCGCTGCACACCGCGACTTTATTTGCTCCTGGAGCGGCGCGATTGGGGTGGGGGAAGGGGGACTATTAACTCGGCAGGACACAGCAGCAGTCGCCCAAGGCTTAAGCAAGCACAAGGGTCTTGCAAGGATCAAGCAAGTCTTTCGGGGTACATATTCAAGGTCGAAAATAGAAAATAACACCAATGCTGTCCTCGTGAACGAACATGGGTGGGCGGCACCGACAACACCGAAGCGGTAGAATACGACCCAGGACCGCCGATAAACAGCAGCAGCGGCAACAACAACAACAGCAGCAGCAGCAACAGCAGCAGCGGCAGCGGCAGCGGCAGCTGCAGAGCAGGAAGGTAGACAAATCAATCACCTCTGGGGTACCCTTTGCCTCCAAGTCATCTCTCAGCTTCAGCACCTCCGTCTCCACCTTGCGAAGAACGTTCCGCTCCATGCGCTGAATGGTCAGTCGAGGCAAGACAAGAGGACCAACAAACCCCACGGATAAAAAAAGCAGGAGCAGAAGAGAGACGGGGGTATGCGGTGCAAGGGGTGATTCAAGATCATATACATGGGGCCGTAATCTTCCCTCACATTCATGCAAAGCCGTGACGGGGCACGCAGACTGTAGTGGCGCGCGGTGTGTGTGTGTGTGTGTACACTCATAGTCGTGCATGCCGTAGTCGTTAGACCATTGACCTCGGGGGGGGGGGGGTCAAGTGAGAGGGGACGGAAAAAGAGTGGCTTGACCGTCGGTTCTTGGCCGATTGGTCGCAGTCATGTCACGCACCATCGAGGGGAACAACCTGAACTATCATATCATACGACACCGTGCAAAGAGGACGGGTACAAGACTACGAGTCCTGCTGTGTTTGCTCGCGTTGTGTGTCTCGTGGCAACAGACTAAGAAGGCGCAAGTCTGTTGCCACGCGGCACAAGGCGAGCAGAGGACTAAAACCACCCCCCGATAAAGTCTATCAACACCAAAACTGACAACATACCAACGATGACGACAACCAAGCGGCAGCAGCAGCAGCATCAACATCAACACCAGCAGCAGCACAAATACAACAGCGACTGCCTCGTAATCGAAAATAACATCAACCAAGCAGCAGCAGCAGCACAAACGATACAACAGCGACTGCCATGAAAAAATATGTGCCATATATCAACCCAACTCGCCTGCTCCTTCTCCGTCATCTTCGGCGCAGCATCCCCCCCCGCCCCCCCAAC